TTAACACTTTAATTTGTTATTATTATGTTTATTTTTTATTTTTTTTTTTTTTTTTTTTGGCAGTACTTTTTTACGTCCCAGTTCTTGGGTATTTTTCGTGTCTTTTTTTTTTTTATTATTTTTTTTTTTTTTCGTTTACTGCGGATATTAATATTCTTACGTATATTTTTTTGATCCATCTTGAATAGAGTTTATTCAGGCTATAGGATTTGCAAGTAGTTATCGTAGCCCACCGTAGGTGTTAATTTTTATTACTAAAAAGTTTGGTGTCTCGATCTGTTTTATTTTTGGCACATAACTTGCACGCATCTGAATATTACAAGAATCTGATAAAATGTTTTTTTATTTTATTTTTTAGAACACATTCTACGGTAGTATATTATTGGATGGTTATAGTAGTGACAGTTGTATTCCTTGGTAATTATTCTTATTTTCATGTACTATTAAACTTATTATGTTAAAAATCTAATAAACCCAACTTTATTTTTTTTTCATTAGGTCACCTTTTAATACGATTCCAGCCACGTTGGCGATATGGCCCGTACAAAGATGAAATATTGTTAGATGGGTTAGTTTAAAATATATAATATTATTTATCATTAAATGTACCGTCTTACAGGATTTCTCAATTGTTTCCGTTTCCTACTTTTACAGCCTTTTGTTTTTTATCTGGTTAACGATGAGTATGTCTTTCATATTAAACCTTTATACTTCCTTTCATTTGTTCATTCATTTGTTAATTCATTCTCTAAACGTCCTCTGTTTTTCTTTAAAAGACTTTCTAAACATCTTACCTGTATTGCGTGGCAACTCTTTGTCATGTGATATGACCGACACTTCCGCTCTCACCCGTTGCAATTTATTCATGGCAAATTTTGTTTTCACTATACTCTTAACTATTACTCTCCCATTCTCGCTTTATATTTCTTTCTCGCGATGGATTAACAGGCAACCTTCTTCTTCTATACAAATGAGCTCTATAAGTCAACAGCAACAAGTTTCCCAACCTCAAAGATCCCCTTCATACAAGATGCAGAAAGGTGTACTCAAAGATGGTCAACCAGTATTACTCTTTCATAGTAACGGTGATAAACGAAATAGTAAAAGGTTGAGCTTGTATAATCATAAACGAAGTAGTTCGGTTCCAAATTTGTTGAAGGACTCTGAATCTGCAAAAAGTGCAAAAAGCATTGAGAGTTATTTGAGTCATGAACTTGTTTAATACTACTAGGATTTTCATTTATCTCCTATAATTAATTTCTTGGAAGAAAACAAATGTCAAAATGTTTATGCTCTAATTTTGAAAAATACAAAAAAATAGCTTGCATTTTACTTAAAAATTTATTATGATAAAAGCTATGATGTTTTTAAACTCTTTGATTTTTTTTTTTTTTTTTTTTTTTTTTGCATAATTTTCATTTTTTTTGCATATAATAATAATTAGCATTTTTGAGCATTGCTTTGAGAACTTTTTTTGGTGCTTCTATACCGTTTAGCACCTATTTAATTTGTATTTATCTATCTGCATTTATTTGTTCTTTACATAACGTTTACTTTAAAAAATCTTAAGTTATTCTCGTAATCTAAAAGGTATCATTTCTTGCAAGAAATATCCTTTTGTTTATTTTTATTTTTTATTTTTTTAGATTTTTGTGGTTTTTGTTTATTTTTAAAAAAAAAAATTATAAAGTATTAATGTTGTGTTTAAAAAAGCAATGAATAAGTATCGAATATTTACAGTTATTATTTTTTTTTAGGAATTGTACTCGCGGGTTATACCGCAGGTACTGCAGGGGATAAACGTTAATCAATCACCCTTTCAGGGGACTTAACAAATTGGATTTTTTACTTCATTTTTAAATGATATGATTTTCAAAATATTACGAATCTTATCGTTATCTATGTTTCATGTTCATTT